TAAATATTATATTAATTAAAGTGAAAGTTTTCAGAATGTCTGCTGATTTTTGTTGTATGTACAAAATATAATTTCACCATTTCAGTGTGACATACACAGAATAGTGTTTACTGATTTTGGTGTTGTTTGTTATTATATGTCAACAACAATTTTTGATTGTGGTGAATATTTCTAATTTTTTTTTTTTTATTTCTTTTGTGTCTCTCTATATAAAGTAACTTCTGCACTGTCAAAAATTACATCCTGACAAGTGAAATTGTATCAGATCTAGTCGATATATCAAATATTATTCATGTTGAGATGTTGTAAGAATACTATAAGATTATTTGACTTTTCAGACATTTTTTCCTAATTTTAAATGATTTTATCAAGTAAACTGATCTCATTATGTTGCCAGATAATTTATTTGCTGTAATCAATGCGCTTGAAACAAACCTAATTATCTGACAATGTAATGAGAAAATTTCACCTAATAAAATCACTTAAAACAAGCAAGAAATGTCTGGAAATAGAATAAATAATCTTAGAATAAGCATAAAACATCTCAATCTGATAAATGTTTGATATATCGACTAGATTTAAAATAATTTCACCCTGCAAGGCACCATTTTTTTGCTGCCCACTGTGAATAAAAACTGTTTTTAATGACTTGCGTAGATAAATGAAATTAATTACCGTTAAAAATTAAACATAAATCAAATATAAATGAATGACTACAGTTTTCCATTCATTCTCACTGATGACCGATGTAAACCTGCTGTGTTACAGAACATCAGGACTGACATTGTTATGGACGTGGGCAGAAGTCTAAATCCTGCGCTGGACATCGGGCAGGTACGCATCGTACCCAGACAGGTTTATTTGGTGTTTGTGTCTCAGTAGAGCTGAATGTGCGAGTCTATTGGTGTCCAGGTTGAAGGAGGGTTCGTTCAGGGTTTGGGGCTCTACACTATAGAGGAGCTGCAGTTTTCTCCTGATGGAGCTCTGAGGACCAGAGGACCTTCAGACTATAAGATCCCCGCCCTCAGCGACGTCCCGCACATTCTCAACACGCACCTGCTGACCAACGCAGGAAACCCCCACGCCATCTACTCATCTAAGGTAACACAAACACAACCACTGTCAATCTTCACCTTCACTCCAGCTTCCATTCTTCTCAGGAGCCTCGCTTTCAGTTCCTCAAAGAATCTGCAGACACACCTCCAAAGTTCAGTCTTAGAAGCTGGTTGATCATTTTCTGAAGTAATCAAACACATTCAGTGGTGTTGAGGTCTGGACTCTGGGGTGGTCAGTCCATTGTTCAGCTTCTTTGTTTGATTTGCAGATGTTCTTCTTCTCTGTCAAAAGTTTGCGCACCCTTGTCCGAATGACATACTGTGTTGTTTTTTGTTGAAGTGAAAAGGCTTAAACACCTAAACAACCTCTGCAGCATTTTTTTCTGAAAATTTTAACACACACCTATTTTATATTAGATGAACCTAAAAAATAGAAAAATAAATGAAAAACGTATTGAGACGTCCAAAACGTTTGGACACCTGACTAAGTCAGTACTGAGTTAAACCTCCTTTGGTGGAAATCACAGCCTGCAGACACTTTTTATAGCCAGCTAGGAGTCTTAGTTTTAGTAGAACGCCTCTTGTTCTGTAATATTCCTGGGTTGTCTTACATGCACAACATGTTTAAGATCTACCCACAGATTTTCAGCGATGCTAAAGTCAATAAACTATCAGGGCCATTCCAAAATCTTGCATTTCTTGAAGTAGTTCATGGTGGATTTGGGGGTTTTGGTGTTTTGGATCACTGTCCTGTTGCAGAAGCATCTTTCCAGCTTCAGTTTCTGGTCTGACTGAGTAACATTTGCTTCCAGAATTTGCTGATATTTAGAAGAATCCATTCTTCCATGTAGCCGTGCAGTGTTACCTGTTTTACCTGAGCCACTGGCTGCCACACAACCCCAAAGCATAATAGATCCACCTCCATGCTTAACGCTTGACACATTGTTCCTTTCATCAAATGCTGCTCTTTTTTCTACACTTTTTCAGATCTGAAGCAGCTTGATTTTCTCCTCTCCTCTCTGTTTATCTGATAGGGCAGTTTTGGTGTCTACCAGCTCTTCCAGGTGGTTGTTAGGAGCCCAATTTCATCCGTAGCTTCTAACCATTATTTGGAAACTTCTGTTTTCCACTTATTTTCCTCATCTGACTAATAATGACTTAGTATCTTACTCTTGAGATCTGATTACTTATTATTTTGACACAGTAACTGGAAAACTTACTTTGAGATACTTAATCAAATTTCTGAGAGATCTAGTCTGTATTTCAAGAAATTAAAACAGTACTTTGATGAAATATGATGAATCTGCATTTTAGGGTCAGCACTGTTCAGATGCAAAGAGGGGAGAAAACTATGCAAATGAACCAACTGGAAAAGTTTGCATTTAAAAAAATTTCACCAAAAGAGGTGAAAACAAAGCTTTTTGTGAGACGAGAAAGTTTTTGTTCTCATCTCTTTACTTGAAAAAGTTTTAATTTCTTAAGACTTTCTCCATTTAGGCCCCTTTTTCTGTTATCGCTTATTTCGCATTGCATGGGCTCATATGGAAATAATTCATGCAAGAATACTAAATACATTTGAAAAAACAGGGAGATTCACTCGAAAGAGGCCCTGAATATTCTGTTGTAACTCCCGTTAGGATGAAGCAATCTGAACCAAAAAAATCTGCTACATATCTTGACGTGTGTGTAATCCATTGCATTACATGCGATGCTGGAAGTGATCTCCGTTTTCTGCCAGACACATGAAGGGGTACGGGGGTTTACACCCGGAAGTTGCAAACGGAGGTTAAATGTTGCAATGGCTATCCGGTGCCTCCCTCATCACTCGGACGCAGGGGCATCCCGGCTTGTTCGAAGCTTCATATACTGAGGAGCTCATTGCTCGTTGTTTGGTTCAGATTGCTTCAAGCTAGCGAGAGTTATTACAGAATATTCAGGGCCTCTTTTGAGTGAATCTCCCTGTATATGAAAATTGGCAAAAAGGTTTAGTTCACTTTGGGAAGATTTCCCACCTATAATGTCTCCTCATTGACGGATTTTATTTTAAAGAAAGTGAGTATGATCATCTGAATAAGGTATTTAAGGCTTTACATATAAACCTTAATGCTTTCCGGTGACCGAATGTCTTTCAGCAGATGGAACTTTCCTCCTTCCAGCTGATCTAGGAAGAATTTCTTCTTTCTCTGTTTTTCTACAGCTGGTCATAATAAATCAGGTATAAACTACAACCCCATTTCCAAAAAAGTTGGGACGCTGTGCAAAATGTAAATAAAAACAAAATGCAATGCTGTGCAAATCATTTAAACCCTGTAAACCATGTTATCAGCGCACAGTTCAAAAGCCAGTATTCATGATGGTATAGGAGGCATTGGTGCACATGGCATGGGTGACGTGCACATCTGTGAAGGCACCATTAATGCTGAATGATATATACATGTTTTGGTAACATATGCTGCCATCCAGACGACGTCTTTTTCAGGGAAGGCCTTGATTATTTCAGCAAGACAATATAAAACCACATTCTGCATGTATTACAACAGCATTGCTCTGTATTAAACGAGTCTAGGTGCTAAACTGACCTGCTTGCAGTCCAGAGCTGTGACTACTGATAACATTGGGCGCATTTATGAAATGAAAAACATGATAAACTATTGAACATCTGAAATTCTGTATCAGACAAGAAAGGAAAACATTTCACTTTCTAAACTACAGCAGTGTCTCCTCAGTTCCCAAACGCTTACAGAGTGCTGTTAAAAGAGGAGGTGATGAAGCACAGTGGTAAACAGGCCCCCATCTGCATTTTATTAACATTTTATTTACATTTTGCACAGCATCCCAACTTTTTTGGAAATGGGGTTGTAGAACCATCTGTTCTTTGCTTGCTAAACTGTATCACATGCTGTAGGCGTTCTGTAGTGCTTGTCTTAGTAAATCTGGCTTCAATCTCTAGCAGTTAGAATGTAAGCAGGTAAATGACCTGTAATCTAATTTTAATATTTAATCCAAGTTTAATATTTAATCAAAGTTTGATATTTAATCTAAGATTAATATTTAATCTAAGTTTGATATTTCACCATCAGTATTTCTAGACAGTGTGCCTCACTGTGACAACCAGCCCCAACTTCCTTTAGTATCAATTAGACGTTTGGGCTCATATGAGGTTTTTCTTTGGTTTTACTTTTTTCCACATTTTTGGACCAACATACGAGACCAAAAACTGTTTAATCCAAACTTGCTGTTTCAGATTCTTTAGTATCTGTGAGTATCTATATGTTTAGTATCTATATTGAAAATTACTTGGAAAAAAAGTCTGGTTTCACATTACAAAGTAAAGTAGGTTTTTTTTCCTCTCCTGTAAAGTGTATATATATCTATAGATATATAGATAGACAGAGAGGGGCGGCACGGTGGCGCAGTGGGTAGCTCTGTCGCCTCACAGCAAGAAGGGCCTGGGTTCGATTCCCGGCCGGACGACCAGGGTCCTTTCTGTGTGGAGTTTGCATGTTCAATATATATATATTACATAGACGCTACATTATCATTACATACATATTTATAGCATTAAAACATAAACCTTCCTTTAGATGTGTTTATGGTTATGGAAGGATCATATGATTATGAAAACCACCTCCAAACATTTGACTGGAACTTTTCTTTTGAGCTTGTATTTGATTCCCTGCTGGACGTTGGACCGAGCTCAGATCCTCAATAAGTAGGACAGTGACTCAGCAGATTCTGCAGCCAGCAGGACTTTGCACTCATTTGGCAGGAAGTAACAGCAGAGAGAGATTAAGGGGATTGTGAATTACTGCAATCTTCAGGACTAACACGACCATACTGTAATATTATAACATAATAATAACACGTTTATCACTGTGGCATTGAGGTAGACGTTCAGTCAGTTACCATCATGACAATGTACTTAATAAAACTAACACATCTGAATGAAGTGCCTAAAGAGTGTTTATTATGAAACATATCTTATTAGTTACAAAACAGTCAGATCTTGAATGATGACAGATTGTGCCTGATATCAAACTAATGTTTAGTAATTACAATTAAAGAAATATTACACTGTAAAGGCCAAAGTAGAAAATTAATTGTGTAGAAAATAGAAAATTTAAACATATTCAACACTAATACTGAAGTCAACAAATCAAGTGTGCTGGTTTAGTAGAGAAGGCTGAGCTTCCCAGGATTCTTAATGGTTTTACAAGTTATTTTCAGTTAATTTTGGGTTGAAATGTTATTTTTAGGCTAAACATGAAGTCTGAATGCATTGAGTGTTAATTATTATTAAAGGTTAATTAATATGACTTTGACTTTAATAAAAGTCTTTATCTGTAATCATGTTACACATTTAAAGGCATCTTTAAAAGTGATTGTATAGCAGACCGGTCAGACTTTTGGGCAGATCATGGCAGCTCCAGAGCCCACGGCCGGGACGTTTCTGTTTCTGTTTTCGGAATCTGGAGAAAAATACAAAAAATTTGGTACGTGAAACAAATTCACTCAGCAAAATAAAATTAATTTACGTAAGGAAAAGAATTCACAGTTTGCACAATATTAAAAACATGACGTAACTTTCTGTGAACTGTTTCTACCTAATCAGCTCGTTTGTAAGCAGAAAAGGAAATAATATATATATATATTTTTTTTTTAATTTGAGGAAACATTATTTATATATGTACAATCTACTTTTCCAAAAAAGAAAACCTGACCTTTACATTTTTGCTGTTTTTGTCAATATTTGACATTGAAACACATAGAAAAGAGCCACAAGTTCAGACTCAAACTTGTCCATAAAGATTAGAAAAATCAAATGCATAAACTTATATATTATGTTTAACATGTATTTTATGTACAAATATAATAATAATAGTATTTACATAAAAAACTAATGTAAACTGAACGTACAGCCAACCGGCAGTAATAACTATAGATTTCTAACAGTAAAGACAGCAAACAAGCCTCATACAGATGTATGACTGAAAGTTTAATCCACTGGTTTAAATCAGGTTTAAATCCCACTTTATACCGGTAACAGTCTTCTAATGCATCACATACCATCTGTGTGAAGCGTGTGCTGCACGCGACGCAGGCCCGGTCAGGTGTAGCCGGGCTGTGTAAAGTGAACGGGCCGCTCAGTCCCGCGTCGCTCCGAGCCGCTGCCACCGCCTCCTTCAGCGCAAAGAACACGGAGCTGCCCAGAAACACAGTGGGCTCACCAACACCCTGAAACAAAGAGTAAACAACAGTAAACAACTCTGCAAAACAGCCGGACTACACTGAGCGGCCAAAACAGGACGAGCACTCATAGAAGACATGAACAGTGTTGATTAAGGACCAGATCATTATGGCCAGATTGACTGGGATGGAGCATCTCCGAAACGGCAAGGCTTGTTGAGCACTCCCGGTCAGCAGCACTGAGATCCTACAAACCACAAACCAGTGAGAGGGTGCTGAGTGCCCAAGGCTTATCAAGGCTCGTGGGCGACAAAGGCTGTCCAGACTGGTCAGAACCGACAGAAGAGCTACTGCGGCACAAGCCACAGAAATGTTCAATAATGGTTATGGGAGGAATGTGTCTGTGCAGCATAGCTGCAGAGTGGTCAGAGTGCCCATAATGACCCCTGTTAACCATCATGTGGATATCAATTTGACATGGCACCTGCATCAAAGATCATTGCTACACTGCATACATCATTCAGGAACGGTTTGAGGAACATGACGAAGAGTTCATGGTGTTGTCCTGGCCTCCAAATTCCCCAGATCTCAATCCGATCCAGCATCTGTGGGATGTCCTGGAACAAATCCGATCCGTGGCAGCTCCACCTCACCCTTACAGAACTTAAAAGGACTTTCTGCTAAAGTCTTCAGAGGTCTTGTGGAGTCCATGCCTCGGCAGGTCAGAGCTGTCACAGCATATTAGGCAGGTGGTCATGATGTTATGGCTCATGGGTGTACAGAACAGTGGACGTACCTTTCGAGGAGTAGATGGCGTGCGGGTTGTGGGATCCGGCCAGCAGGCACACGTTAAACTGCAGCGGGACGTCGCAGACCGCAGGGATCTTATACTGACCCGGACCGCGGGTGTACAAAACTCCAGATGGGGAGAACTTCAGCTCCTCCATAGTGTAGAGCCCCAGACCCTGCATGAACGCACCTTCAATCTGAAACACACAGACACACAAACACGCTTAGGAAAGATGGTTCTTCAAAAGGTTCTATATGGCACCAAAAAGGGTTCTGCTATGCTGCAGAAGTCAGTATAAAGGCACACTTTCCCAGGTGAATGTCATCCTACCTGTCCGATGTCGATGGATGGGTTGATGCTCTGGCCGATATCGGCAACGAGGTCTGTTCTTACAGTCTGAGTAAAAGACAGAAATTTGATTTAAATTGATTTTAATTGATTAAAGGAAAACTTGAATGAGGAAAGTACATTAACACTTCATCGGTTCTTCATAGGTTCCTTAGCTACGGCAACCATGATAACTCAATGTTTAAGAGGTTCTTTGCACGGTTAAAAGGTTCTTCTCTATGTTGGAGACTTGTCGTTTTAGGTTCTTTAAGGAACCATTTATAAATGGTTCTATTTAGCTAAAGGACCTTTTAGTGGTTCTATTTAGAACCATGCTGTTGAGAGTGGCTCCGTAGAGTTAATGTCATTTTGCCTTAGATCCAATTTCTCTTACATAACTATCTAATTTAATTATTACAGAACTATCATATTTTTAAAAACCATTTGGGAAAAGTCTGGTTCCAGATTTCTCTTTGATGCTCCCAGCACTGATTTATTGAATTCCATCAGCAGTTCCAAGTTTTGATTAGATAAAGCAGGTACTGAATTATAACTACAATAAAAACTGGGCTGTCCTGAGGACAGGGCAGGAAATGGTTAAACAAACACATTAACATACATAAAACCACTACTTACTGTATAAGTACTATTTTTATTATAATATTAGTGCTTTTCTGAGCAAATAAGTGCTTAAAATAACCACAAATAAACACTTTTGCATATAATATGGTTACATAATTACATAAATGCATAACATGTATTAATCTAATATAAATGTAATCCATTATTTATTTATGTAATGATTAATTAAGTAATTATATGACTACATTTAAATGATTATGTAAAGTAAATTCGTAGAAACGGAATGAAGAACAGACAGACAATCATAACTCTAGACTAAGGCTGGTGTTTGGTGTTTTAGTTCTTTTATATTTGTTCATTTTTTCATATTTTCTGTATTAGCTACAGTAGGTCAGTGTATGACTGACCCTGTATTCTCCGGTCAGACAGTCCAGCTCCACCTCACTGCAGCAGGTGGCGTAGGTGAAATAAGCGTAAGGCCTTCCCTCCTGCTTCTCCCAGTCCATACACAGGTCATGACCTCTGACAGAAACACATAAACACACATATATACACACAAATACACTGAAACAGAACAGAAATCCACAAAAATACACACAGGGTCAGTTTCTCAGGCCCAGACTGCATCTAAGCCTGGACTTAGAGGATTTTAGACTCGGCTTAAAGAGATAAAAACAAATGCACACAACTACACAGATTCACATATATGCATATACACTCACACAGGAAAATACCTCACTTATTAAACGAACATATCTAGGAAACTTCCTACAGATGTGGTGGACCAGCTAAGACATGTTTGGAGTCTGGAGTGAAGTTGGCTTCTTCAGTTTGTGTAATGTAGCTAAAAAGTAATGCAAGCTTACACCCCACCAATTAGCGTTCAGCTAACATGGATATGATTTCCTATTTTTTTATTTATTCTCTCAGATAAATTCCAGCAAATTCCAGACCGTTTGAATTCAAATGCAAAACTGAAAATGGTAATTCAGAGCATTTCCAATGTGAGAGTGCGTTATTAAAGATCTAGCTCAAAATCAAGTGCAAAATGTGGATTCTTGACCAATTAGGAGAGCTTGGCTGCACAAAATGTGTGTGTGTGTGTGTGTGTGTGTGTGTGTGTGTGTGTGTGTGTAACACTTATTAAATTCCATCAGCAGCACACATCATTTAACATAATGAAGTACTGATTAGATAAAGCAGGTATTGGATGATAACTACGAGCACTACTGGTCTTTCTTGAGGAGCGGACAGGAAATAGTTAAACAGATTAACATGCATAAAATCACTACTGACTATATTAATATTGTTTTATTATAATATTAGTGTTTTTCTGAGCAAATAAGAGCTCAATACAAACACAACTAGCTTTTAAACATCTAATTTCCTCAGCTGCCCTTAAAACACTCGCACAGTGCTGTGTTTACATAATGAATTACATTGTTATGAAACATTTATGAATCTAATAAAAACATAACTAATAATGTAACTATGTTGTGATTGATTAAGTAATTATATCACTGCATTTATAAGATAAAGAAATTTGTATAAATGAGTGTATAAATATTAATGCCATATAATATCCTGTTAAACCTGTGAACGACGTCAAAGAGAGTGAAAACCTGGTTATTTGTACCTGTAGAATCCAGTAGCTGACAGACTGATCTTCTCCAAGAACGCTTTAGCAATCTGTACCAAACGAAAGACCCAAAGTGTCGTATAGTGAATATATGTGTGCTTGTTTTTTTCCATTTAATAAAAGAAGTATTTGATCCAAACAGCTGTACCCAGCTTTGCCACGTGCCGTTGGGGTCCTGCTTCCTGATTGGCTCCAGCCTTTTATACAGAGTTTGACAGGCGTCCTACAAAACAAACATCTACTGACCAGGGTATTTTAATTAGAATTGATTAACAGTATTAGCCATGCTTTTGAGGGGAATGCTAAATTAAATTATCATCGGAATAAAAACAATGTAATGAACAAATGTCTATAAATTATCTTAAAGTTCATTTTTCTTAATGACTTTTTTCAAGTTTATTACAAAAAAAATAGAAGTGTAAATTAAATACATATGTAATTATATAACGATGTAATTGTGCATAGAATGTAATTATATTATACTGCTGTAATAATAATTAAGCCTCTAAGGGTTTCTGGGGGTTAGTTTAGGACTGTGTATGATATTGAGCTCTGAGTGCGTTTAGTGTTGGGGTGTGTGTGTTTGTGTGTGTGTGTGTGTGTGTGTGTGTGTGTGTTACCTTGACAGCCATGCCGTTGGCGTCGGTGCCGAAGGATGCAGCAGAGGGACAGGTGTTGGGTACGGAGCTCGTGCTGGTCTCAGAAATGTGGATCATAGACAGAGGAACGTCCAGCTCTCTGCTGGCCACCTGCCCAACACAGACACATTAACAGGTGGTGGTGCTGGACTGAGATACCGGCACTGCTTGGCTGATCTTTGGCATCACGCCTATAACTGCAGCAGACCAGCGCCAGCATCTCACAGTATAGCACAGGCTCTTACCAAAACTCTAGCAACCACCTGGAACCATGGAGCATCTGACCATACAGCTGCAACCATGGTGAACTCAGAGGCCATGGGTGCCAAACTCTGAGTGAAAAGCTCACAGTGAGAACTGCTTTGATTGGTGGTTGAGTGGAGTACACTGGAGAGAAGAATGAGAGAGAAGTACCTGCTGGACCTTGGTGTGGATGCCTTGACCCATCTCAGTTCCTCCATGACTCACTAACACTGATCCATCTTTGTAGATATGCACCAGTGCAGCCGCCTTTTAATATAAACCAACACAAAATACAGCACAGTGATCAAATGTGTGCTTTTTATAATCTTAATACAGAGTGTCTGAAAAATATTTCGTAGTCTAATAACTGCCAATTCTCCCTCAAATGATCTCAAATTTTAACAAAATGTGTAAAAACTAACCAAGTTTAATTTTTAATGTTTTTTAAGGTTGAAGAATGGCGTTCACTAGAAATGAAAAGGCATTTTGTGTGTTAGAATATGCTCGAACACAGTCAAACGAGAGTGTGCAGTGTGCATTTTCCAGAAAATTCAATAAAAATGCACCAACTGGAAAGCAGTTCTCCATTTTTGTCATTTTTCAGTTTTTTACATGATTTGAAAATGCCTGTTGCTCTTTACATTGAGAGTTAATTTCATGATGAATGGACCAATAGAAACAGCCCAAAATGACTTGGAGAAAAGTCTGGTCCCATTGATTTACATTAAAAGTGAAGTAGGTTTTTTCCTTCTCCTGTAAAGTTACCATTTTGGAGATACAAGGTTTTCTTCCGTCAACAGCGATATTTTGACCTAAAAGCTGACGTGGTTCTGTGCCTCACAGCAGCACACGACCAACAGCAGCATGCAGCGCTAAAAATGTTGTGATGATGACTGCATTCTTAGTGAAAGTGGGTGATCATCAGAAGAGAGAGGAGCAGTGTTGATTGTTTATTCATGACCCAAAAGGGCATGATGTATAATACTGGGGTCGCCTGGACCACCGCTGCGGTCAACAGCAAAAGTTGAGAAAATCTGAACTGACTGAATTCAGTCTGCACTGATTATCTATCTACAACATATAAACATATAAACACAGCAAAAGACAAATGTAAACACTGAAGTTCGTACAGAACGAATGTACGAATTTATTTCCAAAACATTTTTAGTTTAAAAAAAGGTAACACACGTTGCATAACACCTACACAAGCCTTTCATTGGTTTTCTTTAAGGCTGCTTTTGTTCATTCTGACCCTAGCAACCACCTGGGATACCACTGCAACCATCTCTACAAACCACCTGGAACACCACAACTACCACTTATCAAAACCCTAGCAACCACCTAGAAAACAACGGCACCACCTAGCAACACCATGGCAACCACTTGCCATAGCGACCACCTAGCAACCCCTGGCAACCCCTAGTAACCCCCAGAGATACCACAGCAACCACCTTGCAAAACCCTAGCAACCACCTGGAATACAACTGCAACCATGTAGCAACACCCTAGCAACCACCTGGAATACTACATCAACCACATAGTAACACCCTTGAAACCAGCTGGGATGCCATAGCAACTGCTTAGCAGCACCATAGCAACCACTTGGAACACCATAGAAATACTCTAGCAACCCCTGGCAACCCCTACTGACAACCAGAGATACCATCACAACCATGAGGCAACACCCTAGCATCCACCACAGTTACCATTACAACCATCTAGCAACATCCTGGGATACCACAGCAACCACAAATGAACACCTTGCAACCACCTGCAATAACAGTTTAGTGCATCTAGCAAGCACCTGGGATAACTTAGCAACCACTTGGCAACACCTGGAACACCATAGCAACCAGAAACCATCTGGGATGCCAATGCAACCCCCTAGCAACCACCTGGAATACCACATCAACCACACAGTAACACCCTTGAAACCAGCTGGGATGTCAGAGCTGGGATGTTATGTGAGTGAGTGTGTCCATATTATGTCCATTTAATATGAGGTCATTAAATCCCTGTACTGTCCAGTTCAGTGTTCTGAGACATGTTATAACACTGATCTACCTGGTTGAGGAATCCCTCAGCGAAGCCGATGCCGTATTTAATGGGGACCAAAGCGATTCCTCTCTTCTTCCAGCGGTTCTGCTGGTTAAACCGGGCGATGTCCAGACGTCTGCGGTCCAGCTCACTCCTCTCCTTACACTCCTCCCAGCAGCGCAGCAGATTCTCCGGATCAAACTCCATCTTATAGTGTGTGAGTGACGCTTCCTTATACATGTTCTTCTCCCTGATCTAACAGTGGAAACAACACGGTCAAACAGGATAAAGTCAAACAGATGAAGCACATCTATAATGTACTGAACCCTCAGACCACATCACCAGATAATACACGCTATTTAGCGTCTACTATGAATTATTCAGTATCTATGATTCAGTAATGTCTGACCTCTTCAGCTGGTCGGCCGAGCGCCATGGCCACGTCATTGATCATGTTCTCGATAACCATCAGGGTCTGGGGCACACCGAAACCTCGGAATGCGGTGTTGGACGGCAGGTTGGTCTTGCAGGCAGCTGATTGGCCACGGAGGTTCAGGATGTTATAGGCGTTATCCATGTGGAGCAGGATCTTCTCAATGACCTGAGAGAGAGAGAGAGAGAGAGAGAGAGAGAGACAGAGACAGAGACAGAAAGAGAGAGAGAGAGAGGGAGAGAGAGAAAGAGAGAGAGAGAGAGGGAGACAGAGAGAGAGAGAGGGAGAGAGAGAGAGTAATGCTGTAATTACTAATACATTTCTAAACTTTGTTAACCAAGTTTGAAAATACAAATGCATCACATGTGCTTGTCCTGTCAAAATCAGCATGATGAATTCAACAGACGTAGACATTAACTCTAATAAGAAGGAATTAAATAAAGCAGGTAAAATGGATAAAATCGTATTTCCAAAATCTCAAAATTAAATATCCTCTTTGTTCTCTAAATGGCGGTAAGATTTTACCAGAACAGACTCGTCGGCCGTGTTTCCTGCGTTGGTGTAGTAATGAACGTCAGCTGCAGTGATTCTGCCGTCATTCATAAAGCCCACCTGAGGACATACAACCATCAGTTACCTCTTCTTCCGCTATTATTTAACACACACCTAGACCCAGGTTACACCTGGTCGTTTCTTGTGTCTGGAGTGTAAACATATAATATTTTGACCTCATGCATTTACACTTAGTAATCAAACGCATCACTAATCAGATTGAAATCCAATCACTCTATAGCACCTAATATGCAAATCAGCTCATATACTACAACCAATTCCATGTGTTGTCCCTCATTTTTCCTATTTACATCGTAGCTGCCGAAAATCACAACTTTGCACAATGTAACACCAGCTTTACAATGATGTTTATGAGAATAACATGATACATGTGCACTGGCAACACCATAGCAACCATCTGGAACACTGCAACACTCACATATCAACACCTTAGCAACCACATCCAACACTACAGCACTCAAATAGAAACACCCTAGCAACCACCTCCAACACTACAGCAACACACTAGTAACCACCTCCAACATTACAGCACTCACATAGCAACACCCCAACAACCACCTCCAACACTACAGCAGTCACACAGCAACACCCCAACAACCACCTCCAACACTACAGCACTCACACAGCAACACCCCAACAACCACCTCCAACACTACAGCAGTCACATAGCAACACCCTAAAAACCACCTCCAACACTTCAGCAGTCACATAGCAACACCCCAACAACCACCTCCAACACTACAGCACTCACACAACACTCCAACAACCACCTCCAACACTACAGCAGTCACATAGCAACACCCTAAAAACCACCTCCAACACTACAGCAGTCACATAGCAACACCCTAACAACCACCTCCAACACTACAGCAGTCACATAGCAACACCCCAACAACCACCTCCAACACTACAGTACTCACATAGCAACACCCCAACAACCACCTCCAACACTACAGCACTCACATAGCAACACCCTAACAACCACCTCCAACACCACAGCACTCACACAGCAACACCCCAACAACCACCTCCAACACTACAGCACTCACATAGCAAAACCCTAGCAACCACCTCCAACACCACAGCACTCACATAGCAAAACCCTAACAACCACCTCCAACACTACAGCAACACCCCAACAACCACCTCCAACACTACAGCAGTCACACAGCAACACCCCAACAACCACCTCCAACACTACAGCACTCACACAGCAACACCCCAACAACCACCTCCAACACTACAGCACTCACATAGCAACACCCTAACAACCACCTCCAACACTACAGCAACACCCCAACAACCACCTTCAACACTACAGCAGTCACATAGCAACACCCCAAAAACCACCTCCAACACTACAGTACTCACACAGCAACACCCCAACAACCACCTCCAACACTACAGCACTCACATAGCAACACCCTAACAACCACCTCCAACACCACAGCACTCACATAGCAAAACCGTAGCAACCACATCCCACACTACAGCATCACCCTAACAACCACCTCCAACACTACAGCAGTCATATAGCAACACCCCAACAATCACCTCCAACACTACAGTACTCACATAGCAACACCCCAACAACCACCTCCAACACTACAGCAGTCACACAGCAACACCCCAACAACCACCTCCAACACTACAGCACTCACATAGCAACACCCTAACAACCACATCCAACACCACAGCACTCACATAGCAAAACCGTAGCAACCACATCCCACACTACAGCATCAACCTAACAACCACCTCCAACACTACAGCAGTCACACAGCAACACCCTAACAACCACCTCCAACACCACAGCACTCACATAGCAAAACCGTAGCAACCACATCCAACACTACAGCATCACCCTAACAACCACCTTCAACACCACAGCACTCACACCGCAACACCCTAACAACCACCTCCAACACTACAGCACTCACACAACAACACTCCAACAACCACCTTCAACACTACAGCAGTCACATAGCAACACCCCAAAAACCACCTCCAACACTACAGTACTCACATAGCAACACCCCAACAACCACCTCCAACACTACAGCAGTCACACAGCAACACCCTAACAACCACCTCCAACACTACAGCACTCACACAGCAACACCCCAACAACCACCTCCAACACTACAGCAGTCACACAGCAACACCCTAACAACCACCTCCAACACTACAGCACTCACACAGCAACACCCCAACAACCACCTCCAACACTACAGCAGTCACACAGCAACACCCCAACAACCACCTCCAACACTGCAGCAGTCACACAGCAACACCCCAACAACCACCTCCAACACTGCAGCAGTCACACAGCAACACCCCAACAACCACCTCCAACACTGCAGCAGTCACACAGCAACACCCCAACAACCACCTCCAACACTACAGCAGTCACACAGCAACACCCCAACAACCACCTCCAACACTACAGCAGTCACAAAGCAACACCCTAACAACCACCTCCAACACTACAGCAGTCACATAGCAACACCCTAACAACCACCTCCAACACTACAGCAGTCACATGGCAACACCCCAATAACCACCTCCAACACTACAGCACTCACACAGCAACACCCCAACAACCACCTCCAACACTACAGCACTCACATAGCAACACCCCAACAACCACCTCCAACACTACAGCAGTCACAAAGCAACACCCCAACAACCACCTCCAACACTACAGCACTCACATGGCAACACCCTAACAACCACCTCCAACACTACAGCACTCACACAGCAACACCCCAACAACCACATGGAACAACAAATGAACCACTTAGAAACACCCCAGTTACCACCTAAGATACCACAGCAACCACCTGTTTTAATGGGTGTGTTTACACCTGTATTTCTATGTAGATGATCTCTGTCTGGATATTTATGTTGCTGATACTCTGAGTGTAAACAGGTACTGGTGAGGTGACTCTGAAGTGACTAAAGAGTTTGGAAAAGTATTAAAGAGTTTATTAAAGAGCTTCTCAGTGACAGAAGATGGAAATTAGCTCATTTACATCATGCACTAATGATGCTGATTAGCATGTACTCTGTCTGTCATATAAACAAATAAAGTAAAAGGTTCACCTTGTATTTCCCCAGAACTGGGTGACGAGCTCCTGTTATGAGCATGTCCTCCCCTCTCTCCAGCACACACCGCACAGGCCTCTCCGTCCTGCACCACACAATCACAAACGGTGCAGCTTTGGGTGGGAACGTGTGTGTAGAACCCAATGTTGTTAAAAATGTGATACAAAGTCTGAAGTGATAACGTAATTTGTTTGTAATGATAATGTAATACCTCATTTTATTACAGTTTCACACTGATCAAGTTTAATACTTTATTACATTATTGGGAATTTATCATATATTTCATAACAAATACACCGATCAGGCATAACATTCTGACCACCTCCTTGTTTCTACGCTCACTGTCCATTTTATCAGCTCCACTTACTATATAGGTGCACTTTGTAGTTCTACAGTTACAGACTGTAGTCCATCTGTTTCTCTGATACTTTGTTACCCTGTTCTTCAGCGGTCAGGACCCCCATGGACCCCCACAGAGCAGGTACTATTTGGGTGGAGGATCATTCTCAGCACTGCGGTAACACTGACGTGGTGGTGGTGTGTTAGTGTGTGTTGCGCTGGTCTGAGTGGATCAGACACAGCAGTGCTGCTGGAGTTTTTAAACACTGTGTCCACTCACTGCCCACTCTATTAGACACTCCTACCTTGTCAGTCCACCTTGTAGATGTAAAGTCAGAGACGATAGCTCATCTGCTGCTGCACAGTTTGTGTTGGTCATCCTCTAGTCTTCATCAGTGGTCACAGGACGCTGCCCACAGGACGCTGTTGGCTGGATATTTTTGGTTGGTGGACTATTCTCAGTCCAGCAGTGACACTGAGGTGTTTAAAAACTCCAGCAGCACTGCTGTGTCTGATCCACTCAGACCAGCGCAACACACACTAACACACTACCACCACGTCAGTATTACTGCAGTGCTCAGAATGATCCACCACACTAAAATAGTACCTGCTCTGTGAGGGTCCATGGGGGTCCCATTATATCACCCATTTAAAAAAAATGATCAACTAAATTTCCCAATAATATAATATGTTAATATTTTAATCATAATGTAATATATTATCAGTTTAGACATTGTGTTACATTATTATGAGTATCATTATTGGGTTTTATTACATTTTTGACCAAGTTAACTGTAAAATATTGTTACATTTCTGGGCAATATTACATTATTGGGAAATTATTACAATGTTGGGTTCTACAACTGTGTTTTAACACATTATGATGGACGCGATTTTATTACCACAGTGCAGCAAAGATGGTTAGCATTAATGTTAGTTAGCTAACTTCAGCCAAACGAGCTCACTGACCACCAGTGCAACAAAACTGAATTCAAAATTTAAATAACAATAACAACATGGTAACGTAACCTAATACTAGCGGAGTAATTTAGATAAACAACTTCGTCTTTTTTAATGGACGTAACCATGGAATAACGTGTGTAGTAACCATGGCAACAGATGCAGAATAGCACAGAAATGGAATCAAAGTGACCATGGAAATGGGAATAGCATTACCACGGAAACAAGCGTAACAACTGTGAAAATGGCTGTAGTGTAGCCATGGAAAAGTGAGTAATGTAACCATGGAAACAGATGTAGTGTAAAGGAAAAGGGTGTAATGTGAGCATGGAAACAAGTGTAGCATAACCATGGAAACGGTTGTAGCATAACCATGGAAACGAGTGTAGCATAACCATGGAAACGGTTATAGCATAACCATGGAAACGGTTGTAGCATAACCATGGAAATGAGTGTAGCATAACCATGGAAACGAGTGTACAGCAACCATACACATGGATGAAAATGAAAGTTGGGCAACCATGGAAATGCATGTAGCGTAACCATGGAAACTGGTGCAGGGTAACATGGAAATGGGTGGAGCCACCATCAGCTGACCCATATTATAGTTGGCAGCAGCGCTGTATGTGGCGTTAAGACAAACTCACCTCCAAGCAGCCAACGCAGTGATGCTGGCCAGAATGGACGTTTTGGTCACTTTGCCACCAAACGCCCCACCAATCCGTTTAACATGGCAAGACACGCGATTGGACGGAATACCCAACGTCTCTGCTATAGCCTCCTACAGAGAAGATCAAAGCAATGATAACAACAGGCGTTACTGCTGTGAACATCCTGGTTATATTTAGATGCTGTGCTCAGAGTGGACAACTACAAAACAATATCTGGACAACAGCGGCCCTGTCTTCAGAAACTGACCAATGATGAATGGAGTAGAGACTGATAAACTGTACAGATAGATAACAGTCTGTGACTGTAGACCAACACAGAGGATATAAGATAGGTGTTTCTAATAAAGTGGCCAGTTAGTGGAAGCACAAGGGAGGAGTTTCTAATAAAGTGGCCAGTTATTGGAAGCACAAGGTGGGTGTTTCCAATAAAGTGGCCAGTTATTGGACGTACAAGGCAAATGTTTCTAATAAAGTGGCCAGTGATCAGTGGTTTTGCGGGTGTACCTGGACGTACTGTAGGAACTGTGTACCTGGACCATTGCTGGGTGCTGAGTGGACACATAAACTTTCATCTCCTTTTCCTCCCCTAGTGGAATGACCAGCATGCTTTGCGTTTCCATGTAGAAATGCTCCTGACCCCCCAGACGGATCTCTCCTGCGAGACACACAGAATCTTCAGGCTTAAAGTTTGAAAAATATTCTCTTTGAAAGTTCATTCTAGACATTTTTTACTTGTTTTAAATAATTTTATGGCATGAAAGTGTTTTATACCATTAGCAGACAAATGATGCTAAACAAATGACTGAAAGCCAACTAGAAATAGCTTAATCTAAAAATGTTCTTACAATGATCTGAAAATGAGAAATCTTTCATATAAATTGTGTAGACTTGGTTTTTTCGGTATACTATTCCTTTAATATTTACTAATGAACGTGTTCACTGTGGTTGTAAGCATTCGACTGTGCTTTAATTTGAAACTTTAACCTTCATAAACATGATCCGCCTCCTGAAAAGCTTTGGTCACGTCTCCTCTCTGAATCTCCCTCTGAGGCAGAAAGAACGAACGCTTCTCCACAGCTTCCTGCAAAAAAACGTTAAATCAGAGCATACAGGCTTTAAAATCAACCACTGAACACCTGAACGAAATCAACAACACACTGCATTCTCAGTCTTTAGAAGCTTAGAGTTATTACTGTCACTGTAATAATTACAACACAGCTACAAAATGAATTAACAACACAATTCAATACTTCTACATGGACAAAATCCAGCACTGCTTTACATTTATTTAAAAGATCTAGAAAAGACAAAAACATGTAAACTGAATGTAACTGACTGCATGAAACACCATGTATCTAAACATTTTCTTAAATAATTAAAATTAAACGTACTAACTTTTGCATTCTAAGGGTTATAAGGGTTAATATTCAAATCAAGTTAAAGAAATTCAATAAAGCAGAGCATCAAACGATTATTTCACATTATCTTCTGCTTTTCACTCTTCTCGTTTGACCACAATCTGACCACCGACCTCTACAGTGAAGATTCGGTCCGGTAGGTCCTCATAGTTGACCTTCAGCGCTGCAGCCGCTAGTTTGGCGTGCTGCTTTGTATCCGCGACGACCGCACAAACCATCTGACCCACGCAGGTCACCTGAGGACAGGCAGGAGACACACATACAGCAGGAGTGACCGCTACTCAACCGGATTCACGGGAATATACAGCACTGCATGCATGGTAACACTTTACATTAAGGGTCGTGAATTAATTGATAAATATATGCTTAAATACTCATTATTCATATGCTAATTAACTGCTCATTAAGCATTCATTAACGATTAAGTGCTGAGTACACAGCTAACTGACAATTTAGTCTGGTATTAGTTTATAGCACGTCTCCTCAATAACTGTGTAATAACTGCTGCTTATTACTCTGATAATGAACTGGTAAGTACCAGAGACATTATAAAGGAGGAGGAGACGGTCGCTGGTTAAAATATGAATATCAAAGCTCATAAGGCCAGTCATGGTGTCTGTTTGCAGGGAAAGTCCCGCCCTTCAAATAAAAAGAGCCAATCAGCTTGCTGGTTACCCCGCAAGGAGGGAAACCCCCTTCCCCACCCCCACCATTGTAGAGATTTAGCTAGAACAACCCCTAAAAATTTCAAATCTGCTTTCAAAACAATAATCTGACCTTCAGTTTCGAGTGTTTAGGCCTCTCCCCACTCAAAGAGAGAGGAGTCTGGTCTTGAACAGCTGGAAATAACTACCCGGCGGCGTTGCCAATATGGCCGCCGAGTGAACAGGCTGTCCTATATGGACTATTGGTACTGAGTTAATCTTGTTAATTGTCTGTTAATTAATATACAGATTTATTGTTATTGATTAATTGCTACTTTGTGTCCCTCATAGTTAATTGATTTTTTGTATTACTAATTACACTGTAAACTCATGATTAAGACGACAATTTACTGATATCTTAATCTCTCTCTCTGTTTTTCATGTGATTTCCCCTCAAGGAAAGTATATTTACATTATTAATTAGTGTTTATTCTAAATGATTCTACACAATAAACTGAACAGGTTCAGTTTTATGTTAAACTACAAGTCCTTCATACTTGCACATCTCATCCAGTGACACGTTGTTTAGTATCGCTCCAAAAAGAACCCTTATGGCACCTTAACACTGAAGAATTTGATTCTGTTGCTTATAAAGGCAACTGTGTCCACACGTCTCTGAATCAGCAGCCTGTGTTTTAGGCCTGACCAGTATGTCCACTTACGTTTCTATGGAGTGTGAATAGAGTGTGAAGATCATCAGTTTCTTGAAGGACACAAAGTGTTAATTTATGGTTTAGTACTATGAAGTCAATAGTAATTAATGACAAAAATGCAATAACATCTCTGAGGACAGTGAAGCAGCTCAATATGTGAAAATTGTCTAGTCAAGCCCAAGAAACGTGTTTCATTCAACATCGGGAGAAAATGTTATAATTGATCAGTAGATTAATTAAGAGATTATTAACAGGAAAAGTACCAGTTTTAGTTTTCATGTTACTTATTGATGTGAGTAAACACACCGATCAGTTCTGCAGCAGTGTAATAAGCTGTGAACTAGTAACAAACTAAACTATCATTAACTAATGAGCAGTTAATTAATATTAGTAATGAGTATTTAAATTAATTAATAAATTAAGTTATGAAAGTATGCAGTTTTTGTTAAGGGGAAAATGTGATTTTTCTCTCTCAGAGTTCTGATAAACGGTTCTACCTCGCCTAGAGCCAGAATCTCCTCGTCGATCCCAGCGAAGGACCTGAACTTCTTGCCTGGAATATCATCAGCGGTGAAGACGTCCACGACGCCGGGCATGCTCAGAGCTCCGCTCACGTCAATGTGGCTAACAAAACAAAAACAGACAACGTTCACTTACAGCTCATACAGTTCAAATGTTTCCATCTGCATATTAATAATAGCTGTTATTAGCAATAATGACTTAATAGCTATTTTAATAATATGATTTAAATAGTATTTAAAAAAGATATTTTTTACTTTTATTGTGCTCAATTTTATAAATATCCTACATTTTTCTTCCGACAGGGTCCACTCACAGCCTGAAATGTTGTTTTATTGAACCAAAAGCAGTCATTATTTTTACATTACTTCTCTTTATCCTGCACAGTTAAACAGGCTGTTTTTGTTACTGTGACTTTAAGACTGATATATGTAAATAAGCTCTGTTATGATTGGCTGTGCCTCATACAAAAAGCAGTACAGACTGAAACAATTCTTATACCTTCAGTGTGAGTGGGCGGGGCTAACCTGCTGAAGGCTGAATACAGGTGGATATATGTAATTGTGGTTATGTGACACAAAAACAGTGAATTCAAAACAGTTTAGTTTCAATATATGGACTGTGAAAGGGGCGCAGCGAGGACTTTGAGTGGCCAGGTAAGACCCAAAGATTTTACTAGGGGGCGCACTGCTAAGAGAAAAGCTGAATAAAAGAGGGCTGCTGTATTAAAATGACATTTAAAAGTGATGCATTGTTTTTACTCTGTACACACCTAAATTGTAAAGTACACCATACATAAAAGAATAAACATCTTGGGAACATTGCTACTTTCATTTTTTCCCAGAAGGCCAGTGTTTTGCCATTATAAAAAGGGGTCCGTTGTGATCATATTACTTTCAGAAGCTTTGCAATCCAGTTTTGAGCTGCACTGTCTTTGTGGAGACTTTGTAAAATAAATCTACGATGACAAATCCAGCACTGAATGTCTTCTGAGATTTTGTTTTCATTTCTCTGTGTTGAAAAGAGTTATTGTCATTAGCATGGCTGTTAGCTGTCCAGTGGTGCCTTGGGTCGAGTCTGTCGACAAATCAGAGGCTGGGTTCCTGACTCGTCAACCAATCAGTGGCTGTGTTTCTGACTTGTCCACCAATCAGAGGCTGTGTTCCTGACTTGTCGACAGTACAAAGCTACCCTTCTGGGCAAAATGAAAGTACGTCTCCAGCATGCAGCGTTCACAAATATTCATTCTTTTATCTACGACATCCTTTGATGTTGCATACGACCAGTTTCTAGACTTCCGATCAGAATTCCGGGCTGTCCTCGCTAATGTGATGTAACGTGCAGTGTGTTGCTGAGGTATGTTTACGTGATTTTGGCGTGCGCTCTGGTGCTGGTGACCACAGACATGAAGAGCTCTCCCTGCGTGTGTGGAAAATCATCACAGTACACAGCCTCTCCTGTGGCGTGTGACAGAGCCGACTGGTGCTGAACCGCCCGGCCCACGGGGTCCTGCTCCGACTGACCACTCAGCACATCCTACACACATGAGCATGCATACGGTTACAGATGTTCACATGGATGCAAACATACACACTCACACATACCCTGATCAGCCATAACATTAAAACTAGCTTCCTGTATCTCCACTCATTGTCCACTTTATCAGCTCCACTGACCGTATAGCTTCACTAGTTCTACAGTTACAGACTGTAGTCCATCTGTTTCTCTGCATACTTTGTTACCCTGTTCTTCAGTGGTCAGGACCCCCAAAGGACCCCCATAGAGCAGGTACTATTTGGGTGGTGGGTCATTCTCAGCACTGCAGTAACACTGATGTGGTGGTAGTGTGTTAGTGTGTGTTGTGCTGGTCTGAGTGGATCAGACACAGCAGTGCTGCTGGAGTTTTTAAACACCTCAGTGTCGCTGCTGGACTGAGAATAGTCCACCAACCAAAAACACAGCACATTTGTTTACTGTTTTGTTGTTTACTGTATTGGGGAGTTTATGCAAAATTAAGGCATCAAAGTCACACTAAATATTTTATGTGCATTAAATGCAACAGAATCCAGAAAAGAAGCACTGAGCTGCCCTGCTTTTATAAATGTATATACTGTTATATATTTATATATTGCAACACTTATTTACTGTACCTCACTGTAAACATCGGCTGAGTTATGCCTTTACATTAATGGATGATCCATTTTTTTCCCTCCCATTCATCATTATCAAAGTATTTTTCCAAAATATGTAGCAACAGGGAGATCAGAGATGCCAGTTCATTGTAGTGGCAAGCAATGGATCAAAACCTGTGACAGTAAAGGGCAAAAAAACTGATATATTGAATATACATCAGAAAATACATGGCACAGTTCTGGGTTAATGATGGTTGTTTTTGTTTCTTTTTTCCTATTGATTTACAAGCCACTTGATTTTTGACAACACGGTCAATCTAACTGCAGGTGTACATTTTCATCTAGTTGTACATTTCGGGTGCTGTATGTAGGTTTCTGTAAACTGTGCCATTCAGTACCTGGAACTCGTGGTAGCTGGGCTGGATGATGTTGGGCAGATGCTCCACAGCACTGAGCTGCTCTGAGGGAATCTCCCCCTCGCTCACATTCTGACAACACAGTTATATAGTCAGATATATGATGTGCAGCATTATATATGCGATTTACAGTATGCAGCATTAAAATAAAAACAACAATGACACAAATTACTACTAAGATGAAAATAATTTCAATCTGCATGTCTTCAAGCCTAAAACTGTTTTTTCTATAAAGAATAAAAAAAAAAAAAGAAATAGAGAAACAAAATATGACAGAATTAACTGAAAAAGATAAATATTCTAAAAAACTCAAAGATCAATAAGTACTGCCAAATCCAGACTGAACCAGGTGAGCGGGGAGGGGGTCAGGTGAGAGGGGACAGTGTCAGATGAGTGGGGCAGAACCAGGTAAGGGAGACAAGATCAGGTAAGAAGGGCCAGGGTCAGATGGGTGGGGTGGGACCAGGTATGGGGGACGAGATCAGGTGAGTTGGGGTGGAGCCTGATGAGCAGGGTAGAACCACGTAAGGGAGACCAGATCATGTGACTGGGGGTGGGGCCAGATGAGTCGGGTGGGACCAGGTAAATGAAACATAAGCATTTGAGTTGGCAGAGCCAGGTGTGCAGGGGCTGGAATACATGAGCAGAACATGGCCAGGTGTGCAGGAAGAGACTAGGTGAGCAGAGTGGGACCAGGTAAGAGAGACAAGATCTGATGAGTGGGGGCGTGGCCAGGTGACCAGGGCAGGACCAGGTCAGTAGTATGGGACCAGGTGACAGAAGGAGGGCGTACCGTGTCTTTGAGGTGCTGCAGGACATGCAGGTAGAACCTGAAGAACAGGCTGAGGGTCAAAGACCTGCGGAACATCACTTTACCCCCCGGAGCAGAAGCCCCTAGAGTGACCTCATCAACGAGAGCCCTGTACGCGTCACTCAACGTCGACTCGTTCCACGGCCTGCCACAAAAATACACAAATAAACACCAAACAAAATATCAGAAAACGAAACAATAAAGACATCAGAGTAAAAGTCCCCCTTGTACCTGTGAACGCTGCGCATACCTGCTTCAAATACACAACACATCTATACTGCTGTATTACTATGAAGTCATTAACGTTAAGCCTATTATTCTGTTATCATTTTAGTGAAAGTTTCTCAGAGCTCAGTAAAAACCGGTTTAAGCGGTGGATAACTCTGCTACCTGCCGATGACCTGCTGGACGGTCTTCTCTGCGCTGACCGTGCAGGGTCCCACTCCTCCGTAATAAACACTCATCTCCTTCACTACATTCGAACCCTCTTTAAACCACACGCGCATCCCAGCGTTCACAGTGGCCAGAGCGTTCTCCTTACGGGGAGCGTGACGGAACGCCCGAATGACCTCCCCCTGCAGGAGGAGAGAAAAGGTCATCCTAAACAAATTAGCATGCATACATGACTCCTTAAAAATCAAGGTTCCTAAATGGTTCTTGGCAAAGACAGATAGTTTATATATACATGTATTTCACCAATAAAGCGATTCTGATTCTGATTATTTACAGTAGAAATATCACCTTTCTGGACACTGGGATGAAAACGGACAGCACAATCTCGTCTGGTTTCAGAATCGTCTTTCCAAAACCAACAAAGAAATCCTTATTCAGAGGAACTTCCCGTTTTCCCTCTGAAATCACACACAAAAGATCTACATTACCTGGGAATGATGCATTATAACAGAGTAATAAACGGAATAAATATCATTTGATTAGCATAAAAGCATCAAACTCCACAAATCCGCATGAACGACACTACAGTGAAGGATTCAAAGGAACACAAAAACATTCCGTCTCTGTCCGAACAAAATCTCCAAAAATGGAGAAGGAAAAAACATTAAGACTAAAGTTTCTAAAGGAAATGAATGCAAAAAAAGTTATTTTTGTAAACATGCTCTGTTACGCTGCTCCATTTTTTCTAAAACATAAAGTGAATCTGACGTTTGCAAAGTATGTAAATAATTAAAAAAAGAAAAAATGGAGACAGAAGGTTTTGCCCCATAGCAACAATATATTAATTGTGTTCTTGTTTGTCTTCTGTCATTATATGCTCTATGATCTAATATCATCAGTTATACATGAAAAACGTCACCACATTAAACAGTCAGCATTGTTCTCTTATCTTGCATTGTCTTATGTCAATACTTGCTTTATAATAAATAGTCATCTTTCAGATGCTGATGTGTTCATAAATACTTAAGTATTGCTTATTAAACACATTATGCAGTGCTTATGCATGTTATGAAGTGCTCATGTAAGCAGGCTTCAGATAAAATGTCACTGAAATAAGCAACATATGGGGCATATTGTGTATAATAAAGTACATAACTAAATCAAATAAACTGGGAAACAACAGTGAGTGCTTTATTCACCTCTGGACAGCAGCACTACGGAGCATCTTCCAGCAGCTAGAACAGGGTTCAGATCTGAGTTTGGATACGCGCTCGCGATGTTACCACCCAGAGTCTGTAAACACAAACACAAACACAAACACAAACACAAACACAAACTCATGAACATGTGAACTTAAGTAACTGTAAAATTTATAGGAATTTATTAGCAGCAGAGTTGCCAGTATAATACTGCATATTCAAAGTGAATATATTACAGTAATTAACTGAATGTTGCATTTACAGTTGTTTACTATTAATTTACAGTACTTCAGTGCCTCAGAAGGCAGCGATATGATTAACATACCTGCAACTGAATCGTGTTTGAGATGCACTTCAAAGGCAGCGATACATCATACTGTTGCCAAGATACGACACCTCACTGCTAGCTGTAAGCGTTAGCATCCATTTTCCAGTCTCTTAAAGAAGTTAGGATACTTCTACGCTAAAAGCGACCAAACTGAGGAACTGAGCAGCGTTTAACATTCAATTCATTACATTCAGTTCAGACGTGACTGGCTGCCTCAGTGCCTCTGAGTCGGCAGCATTTATGACTTTTCAGACACAGCCAATATCAGGGAGCAGCTGTAAAACACTAGTGGATATTATATACATTTCTGCGCATGCGTGGGCCAAATCAGGTTTCCAGTTCAAACTGGGTAGGGACACGCCCCCGTCAGTCAGCTGTGTCTCACATTGTGGCCTTTTGCTTCAACAAAGCCAAGAAATTTGTGGCTCAATCGCTGCTACCGACAGCGCGAAGGACTGTAATGTTTACTGAATTCCAGCAGAGTCTGACGCTCGGAGATGTAGTGCGAGTGAACGGGACAAACGTATGAGACAAACAACGAGCCAGAGAAGCTGCTGCATGCTGACATGTACAGACCACAGATTTATCTCTACATTGTTCTGTTCTTTTTTAACTCTTTAGCACAAAAATATTTGACATTTAATTCATATGTGCAATATGTCTCTTATTATTAAGTGGTTAGTCTTAAGCATGTCAAACTGTTGGATTATATACAACCCCATTTCCAAAAAAGTCGGGATGCTGTGCAGAATGCGAAGATAAACAGAATACAATGATGTGCAAATCATGTGAACCATATTTTAAAAAGAAAACACTACAAAGACAACATATCAAATGTTGAAACTGAGAAATTTTGTTGTTTTTTTGAAAAATATATGTCCATTTTGAATTTGATGCCAACAATATGTCCAAAAAAGTTGGGACGGGGGCCTGTTTACCACTGTGTTTCATCACCTCTTCTCTTAACAGCACTCTGTAAGCGTTTGGGAACTGAGGAGACACTGCTGTAGTTTTGAAAGTGAAATGTTTTCTCATTCTTGTTTGATACAGAATTTCAGCTGCTCATCAGTTCTGAATCTCTTTTGTTGTATTTTTCATTTCAAAATGCACCAAATGTTTTCAGTGGTGACAGGTCTGGACTGCAGGCAGGTCAGTTTAGCACCCAGACTCTTTTAATACAGAGCAATGCTGCTGTAATACATGCAGAATGTGGTTTTACATTGTCTTGCTGAAATAATCAAGGCCTTCCCTGAAAAAGACGTCGTCTGGATGGCAGCATATGTTGCCAAAACATGTATATATCATTCAGCATTAATGGTGCCTTCACAGATGTGCATGTCACCCATGCCATGTGCACTAATGCCCCCTATACCATCATGAATGCTGGCTTTTGAACTGTGCACTGATAACAAGCTGAGTGGTCTTTAGCCCGGAGGACACAGTGTCCATGATTTCCAAAAAGAATTGTTGATTTGTCGGACCACAGGACACTTTTACTGTTTTTAATGCAGTGCTGCCTGAGGACCCAAAGATCACGGCCAGCTAATACTGGTTTTTGGTCTTGTCCCCTGCATACAGAGATTTCTCCAGATTCTCTGAATCTTTTAATGTTATTATGTACCGCAGATGATGAAAAGCAAAAGTTCTTTGCTATTTTAGATTGAGAAACGTTACTTTTGAAATGTTGCACTATTTGATGGTGCAGTCTTTCACAGAGTGCTGAACCCCTCCTCATCTTTACTTCTGAAAGACTCCGCCTCTCTGGGATGCTTTTTTGCGGGCAGTCGTGGGTTGGAGGTTAGGGAACCAGCCTTGTGACCAGAAGGTTGCTGGTTCGATCCCCTCAGCTGACAGTATGTGACTGAAGTGCCCTTGAGCAAGGCACCTAACCCCCAACTGCTCCCCGGGCACCATGGATAGGGCTGCCCACCGCTCACTGCCCCCCTAGTGTGTGTGTTCACTAGTGTGCATGTATGTGGGTGTTTCACTGCACGAATGGGTTAAAGGCAGAGGTCTAATTCCAATGTGTTCAAACACAGTTGGCTAAAGGTTCAATTCAATTTTTATACACAATCATGTTACTGACCTGTAGCCAATCAACCACCAGGTGTTTTATTTTAGCATTACACAACTTTACCAGCCTTTTGTTGCCCCCGTCCCAATTTTTTTGGAACGTGTTGTTGGCATCAAATTCAAAATGGGCATATATTTTTCAAAAAAACAATAAAATTTCTCAGTTTTGACAGTGGATATGTTGTGTTTGTACTATTTTCAATTAAATATAGGGTTTAAATTATTTGCATATCACTGCATTTTGTTTTTATTTACATTTTGCACAGCATTCCAACTTTTTTGAAAATGGTGTTGTATAAAATATTTTTTTAGATATATAATTCAATAAAATGTTATAAATATCACTACTTATAAGCTAGTTAGATTAGATAGAATTAGTATCAGTATCGGTACTCAGTATTGGCCGATACTCAAGGATCAGGTATCTGTATCGGAAGAGAAACAGTGGTACTGGTGCATCACTACTGGTCACACACTAATGCTATTCTGTTGTTGTGTTGGGTCGTTATCACAGTGTAAGGGATTCTAATGGTGTTCTGGGACTGATTCCAGATGCGTTTGGTTTCCTAATGAGATCTAAAGGTGTCTAACAGGAATCTAGCGGTCTCAGTGGTAACCACTCAGCAGGGAAATTAAATAAATGAAGGGTGGTCTCTGCCTTGTGGACTCTACTGTATGCGTATATATGAAAGAGACTCACAGCTACGTTGCGGATCTGCTCTCCTGCGACGCGGCTCAGCTGCTCCAGCAGCGCTGCGTGTGTCTGTGTGTGTTCAGCAGGGAGAGAACACACACACTTCTCCAACACACTCCGCACGGTGGACAGACTACAGCCCGCTCCAATACACACACCTACAACACACACACACACACACACACACACACACACACACACACACACACAGTCAGACACTGATACGGGATGTGGGGTGGAGGTGTTGGGGGGGTCTGAGGGGCTGCAGCACCTCCAGATTTCAGGATGGGTTTACTGCAACTACCAAAACAACAACAACAACAACAATAATAATAATAATAATAATAATTTTCTACATGATGTTCAAAATCTGCTGTAGCTGTGCACAGTTTAAACCTGCACTATGCAAGTGCTGGGGATTTGGAGACCCCTCTGGAGGAAATGTGTAATTGCACATTGTGTGGCAAAACAACATGAGTTTCGCTTTAGACCCCTTCCCCGATCGAAAGAGAACTCAGGACCCCCACAGAGCAGGTACTATTTGGGTGGTGGGTCATTCTCAGCACTGCAGTAACACTGACGTGGTGGTGGTGTGTTAGTGTGTGTTGTGCTGGTGCAAGTGGATCAGACACAGCAGTGCTGCTGGAGTTTTTAAACAGTGTCCACTCACTGTCCACTCTATTAGACACTCCTACCTTGTCTGTCCACCTTGTAGATGTAAAGTCAGAGACGATAGCTCATCTGCTGCTGCACAGTTTGTGTTGGTCATCCTCTAGTCCTTCATCAGTGGTCACAGGACGCTGCCCACAGGACGCTGTTGGCTGGATGTTTTTGGTTCTCAGTCCAGCAGTGACACTGAGGTGTTTAAAAACTCCAGCAGCACTGCTGTGTCTGATCCACTCAGACCAGCACAACACACACTAACACACCACCACTACGTCAGTGTTACTGCAGTGCTGAGAATGATCCACCACCCAAATAGTACCTGCTCTGTGAGGGTCCATGGGGGTCCTGACCACTGAAGAACAGGGTAACAGAGTATGCAGAGAAACAGATGGACTACAGTCTGTAACTGTAGAACTACAGAGTGAAACTTTATGGTCAGTGGAGCTGATAAAGTGGACAGCGCCAACTCAAAACGCCTTCCCGCCTCTCTTACTGTTCTGGACACTTACCTTCCGGTTTCTCTGTGACCTCAAACAGCTCCCGCACACGAAAGGCTGATATTATTATGGGATGGACGACTCCTTTAAACTTTATGTCCAGCCCTGATAAAAACATCACACAATAAAATCAGGACAGCAGATCAATCACTTCATCAACAAACAACAGTGAAGTGCACAGTTTCACTCACACTAACATTTACACTTCTCACATTTCAGACTTAAAGTGAGGCAGCGTTGCCAGGTGTCCAGTTTTGGACCGGACAGTCTGGTTTAAAGGATGTTAAAACGCACACGACTAAATAACAGTGATCATGTGGGTAGGAGTTTACAATTAGTCTCAAACTGCATGTACTTTAATAAATATCACATCAAATTAGCAAAAGTTAATGCGCATTTTGTTTTATTTTCCTTCCAACATCTTAAACTCAGCAAGTCAATCAAAAATATACAGAAAAATCAATGTCATATTTAAGTGTGTTCTCTGTAGAGGATATGGCAACATATTTTCATTTAGAAAATCATTACAAAACATGGAAACTTCTGTATATGAATGTGCTTCATTTCGATCTGTGCACCTATCAGCCATCACGAGCCATCTAGCTGTTAGCTAAAAGCTCAATGAAAGATCAGATAAGAAATAACATTTAAAAATACCTAGATTAGTGTTGCCCATGACGATGGGGGCTTGTGGGTGTTGACTCTTCAGCTGGAGCAGCTCATCCAGAGAGACGGGGGAGATCCAGGTCATCCTCTCCCCCCGAAACGTCTGAGTGGTTCGCTCCTCCGACTCGGCCATTCTCTACACAGAATCACCCACAGATTAAATTACTACATCAAATGAAAGTGGTACCATCACAAAAGCAACTATTTTACCATCATTTATATCTGACATTGTTTATGATAGTTTTGAGAAGATTTCAGCTTTAAAATCCATTCATGGTGGAGGGATACATGATATGCAGGGTGTTGTGATGCAAAATAGTCCCTAATAAAACTTATTATTACAGATTTTCCACTATTTTACCATCATCAATATAAAACTCAGAAGACTCGTGTAGGTTCACTGGTGGTTTTGGATAGTAAATAAAATGTCTATATTTGTGTTGTAGTCATGGCGACCCCTGGTTCCTATCACCACCACTGTAAAGACATCTGAACCATTTCACACCAAACCACTCTGAATCTCTCTGTTTACAGCCCACACACTCAACTATGACAGGAATTTTCAAAAAATTGGTGGAATTCCCCTTTAACATTGCTTACAGTTCAGTGCCCAGTAAAACCTTAGCAACCACCTAGAATACCATAGCAACAGCCTAGTAACACATTACCAACCACCTGGGATAACATAACGACCTAGTAGCACCTTAGCAACCACCTGGTATGATATAACAACAGCCTAGCAACATCTTAGCAATCACCTGGAATAACATGACAATGGCGAGCAACACCTTAGAAACCAACTGAGATACCACAGCAATGGCCTAGCAATATCTTAGCAACCATCTGGGATACCATAGCAACAGCCTAACTACATCTTAGCAACCACCTGGAATAATAGAACAATATTTAATAACATCTACCATTTTGAATCACATATCACTTTTTCAGATCTGGCCAAAGCACATTTAGCACATTTAACAAATTCTGTGCTGCTTAGAACTCAATTTCAGTATAATTCAGTGTGTGAGGTGTAATCAGAGAGATTCAGAGTGGTTTGGTGTGAAATGGTTCAGATGTCTTTACAGTGGTGGTGATAGGAACCAGGGGTCGCCATGACTACAACACAAACATAGACATTTTATTTACTATCCAGAACCACCAGTGAACCTACACGAGTCTTCTGAGTTTATATGGAATGTTGATGATGGAAAACAGTGGAAAATCTGGAATAATAAGTTTTCTTTGGGGACTATTTTGCCTCACAACACCCTGCATATTATGTATCCCTCCACCATGAATGGAGTTTAGATGGATGTCTGGCTCCTATCACCACCACTGTGAGCTGATTGACTACATTTGGAGAAAACTACCTATTCCTTTAATTCTCCTCACTTTATCATGACACATTCTAAAATGTTTGAAGTCTTACTATCAGCTCTGGGGGGAAGATGAGCTCCTGTGTGGGGTCCAGAGGTAGAAACTCCTCATTACCAGACGGCCCCGTCTGACCCTGAGAGACCAGACAAAAGAAACACTTCACTCACAAATTTAATCAATAACTTCGGCTGGACTTTCAGTTTTATGTGGCAGTGAAATATCAATGATTGGCTCATAACCAGGAAGATAAATCATAAATCCACAACATTGCAGTCATAATTACAGTGAAACGTATGATATGTGCAGTTACTATCAGTAAAAAACTGAAAATGGGGCTCAAAAGCCTAAACAAAGAGTCTGAACCAAGTAATAAAACATCTAAATAGGCCACTGACCCGAGATGACCCGAAAATAATCTTACATTCTCCGCAGGTTCCAAAGGTCTGTTTCCATTGGCTGTGCAGCAGGCGCTGCCGTTCACCTGGCAACAGTTTTCACTCTGCAGAGAGAACAAACAGATTAAAGGGCCCAAAACACGAAAAACTGAATTTTGATCATTTTGTGATGCAGCATGTAAACATTGTTAAATAATCAAAATGTTCACTTCCCCGGAACATACCGTCCATTTATAGATACCAAACTGCTTTGTTTTTGTGATGTCATGAGCCAAATCATTTGCATAGGCCCGCCTCTTTGGCCTACAGTGATTTAGCCCCGCCCATTAATGCTGACGTTATAAGGAGTGTTTCAGCCCAGACTGCTTTCTGAATGAGGCACAGCCAATTAGAACATAGCCTATTTATATATATATACACTTACAGTGATATTAACAGGACACTGAGTGTGTTTACATGCACTCAATAATCTGATCATAATCAGATTTATGCAGTTATCTGATTATTCAAATGGTAATGTTAACAGCACCCTCTGATTTCTGAGATCAGAATAAATTCTATAAATCCGATTAAGAAATCTGATAAAGAGGCTGGATTTTAGCTCAGTAATCAGATTTCTCAGTGTATGTGAACCCTTACTCTGATTTCTTTCAGATTTCTCAGTCTGAGCATGTGTGAAAACAGACGGCGGTACCGGAAAATAAGCGAAATAAGCAAAACACTTTTGGAGCGACGCTGAAAACAACTACATGCTTGACAAAATGAAGGATTTAAATATTCTTCATCTTCTAGATGATGATTGTTCATATTTTCAGGTTAAAGTTCAGAGTTTCTGTCACGTCTTCTTCTGTGAGTTTATTGGCTGGCTGTAAAGCAGAAATCTGATGACTCTTGTAGACCCGGAGTTATATAATCATTATCTGATTACCCAAGTGCATGAAAACTCACTGAACCAGTTACTGCAGTTATCAGACTATTAACTGCCTGTAAACACACTCACTGTTTATTCTCTTAAAAGGGCTGCAGGAATAAAATAAAGCGAGTACTGAAATATACGCTGCACGTTTTAAACACATTCATGTATATTTTTGGGTGCTTCTGTTTTGAGGTCACACTACGTCTAACGGACATGAGAAGGGGAACGTAATGACCGCTGCCACATGACTGCACAGCTTCGGCCCATTACAGCTTCATCCTAACGTACAACACATACATTATATGTTCAGTCTGAATGATCAGATAAGAAGAGAAGAAGTGCTGCGTCACTCTGACCACTTCAGTCCATCACTAGCCACAGATTAATCAGACACCGCTGACCCTGACAGACACGGTTAATGAGTTTCACATGACTGTGGAGCTCAGAATTACGCTGAACTGAGAGACAATCTGCCAGCTCTTATAATACCTTTATGATTATGATGATTATTATTATTACATCTAATAAAATTAATACTACTAATAAATAATACTCTTTTATATGTAACTCTTTGTTGACTCCAAAGAAAATGAATAAATGAACAAATTATTTTAAACGGCCCATATCCTACATTTTTCTTGAATTTTATTTTGTTTCCTTGAGCTCCACTTTTTGTGATTTGTGTAGTTTTACGTAACAATACAGTCATAAATCATTTTTATGCTAAACGCAGCACTTTACAAAATGAATTATGACTTTATTATATTTGAAACATGCTGCGTTTCATTATTATTATGACCATTTCCAGCCTCTCCTCATCCCTTAGAATCAAATGGGCTGTTTTAAGACTGATATATGTAAATGAGCTCTGTTCTGATTGGCTGTGCCTCATTCAAAAGAGTCCAGGCTGGAACCCTCCTTATAACTTTAATGTGAGTGCACGGGGCTAAAGAGGGGCATGTATGTAAATGGACCCTTTATTATTATTATTATTATTATTATTGCTATAAATTTTGTAGCTTTGTGTAATATAAAGATAACAATAACAAAATAATAATAATAATAATAATAAAAATAAAAATAATAATTCATATTATTACAAAATAAATCAAAACAAACAACCAAAAGCTTTTTAAAATTCAGAGCGTGTAAAACTGTTTATACTGTACTAATAGATAAAAAGAGTTTGAATGACCTCAGTAAACGGCTGATCCTGCCCGTTTTAAACTGGACGCCTGTATCTGTAACTGTATTAAAGTGGTGCAGTAAGGATGAACACTGTCCTGCCCAGAGACTGAACTGGTTCTAGAGCTTCTCCCACTGTATGAAGGAACGCACAGATGAAGGAGCTGATTACCTCACAGAAGGTCCGATAGCCGTCGATAATGGGCCGATATCCTGTACACCTGCACAGGTTACCTACACAAACAAAGCAGTCTGATTAGTCAGCATTACTGCTACTGAGAGCTGATTGGTTAGCATTACTGCTACTGAGTGCTGATTGATTAGCATTACTGCTACTAAGTGCTGATTGATTAGCATTACTGCTACTGAGTGCTGATTGATTAGCGTTACTGCTACTGAGTGCTGATTGGTTAGCATTACTGCTACTGAGAGCTGATTGGTTAGCATTACTGCTACTGAGTGCTGATTGGTCAGCATTACTGCTACTGACATAAAGCAGTGTGTAAGTGTATATTTTACCCCCCAGAGTCTCTCTGATCTCCTCCATGGTGGGCTTTGGTTTGTTCCTCAGCAGTGTGTACATGGACATCACCATCCCAGGAGTACAGAAGCCGCACTGAGAGCCGTTAGCCTTCGCTATACGCTCCTGAACACAGACACACACAGATACAGCACACAGAGAAACCACACGGCTACAGCTAAACTCAGACAGCTGCACAGGCAGCTCATCCAAACATGCTAATACGGCTAACAGCCAATAGAATTTAGCCAATCAGGCCACCAATTTTGATGATGTCATCAATTCTTAGCAAAATTAATATGTTTGATAAAACCATCCTTTAAACACAACGTGCATTTAAAATAAAACCTGGAAAGTGAATTTACTGCTCCAGACTGAAATCCAATCGGAAAAACAGGACTCTTTATTTTTAACACTTGTGTTATGTTCAGATCAAAATGACCTGTTTATTATTATTATTAGACCTAAAGTTCTGTAGATTTTAGATTAGATTTGTTGAAGCACTGTTGATGTAAGGCAGATAAAAATTACTGATCAAGAATTTAATGAGTTTAATAGTTATTTCGTCTTTAAAAAACTAGACAGATGTGCCATTCAAGACACACACACACACACACACACACACACACACACACACACACACACACACAGTCCTATACAAATGTTTGAACACCTCTGGCTTCTTTTGTTGATTTTCTAAATGTAAATTTCAGTGCACAATTTTTAATTATTTGCTGAGTTTAATATATTGACAATTTTTGCACAGGCGACATTTTTTATGTGACATTCAGTACATATACAGTAACTGTGCATTAAAATGTGCAGAAGTGTGTTCTGTATAGGATGTGCACATAAATACACATAGCCATGTATGGAATGAACAAGGGGGCTGGATGTAAGTGCGAGCAGACTTTAATAACCAAATTTAATAACCAAATTAACATCTCCAAATTAGTAACTTTACAGGAGAAGGAAAAAACCTACTATACTTTTATTGTGAGTCAATGGAACCAGACTTTTTTCCAAGTCATTTTGGGCCGTTTCTTTAAGTCCATTCGTCATGACATTTATACACAATATAAAGAACAACAGGCATTTTTAAATTATGTCAAAGATATAATAAAGAGGTTTTCTTCAGATAGCAGTGTTTTATACATATATATGTATACATATAAAACTGTAAATATAAATGGTAACTTTGCAAAAGAGCTTTTAATAGAAGTTAAAGGAGAAATGACTAATTCCAAATTGGAGCATTTTGGAGCATTTCTATTGGTCAATTCACCATAAAATTTTGACAGAATGTAAATAAACATATACACATATGTAATATGAAAGGGTATATCAGCTATTTTAAAAATAAAGTATGATTGTCATGGTAAAGCAGATGCTATGGGTCAACATGAACAGTACACCCACTGCTAAGCAGCTAACTCAACACTGTACTCTACTTATTTAGTCAATGTTGGCCCTATTTAAAAAGAACACCTGCCAAACAAAGTATTTGCTTGAAAATCCCTTTAAGACTGTGATCTGTTGTAAATGAAACCATTTGAGTCTCAGTGAACGCAGACTAATCCAGTGTCCTGCATTATAATCTGGATTACCTGTACAGGGTGTAACCTGGTTTTGGTGCTGCCGATCCCTTCGACGGTGGTTATGGCCGCTCCGTGCAGCTGGCATACGGGCATCAGACAGGCATTAACAGAGAAATGACTCCACAGTGAAGGAAACCACAGCACACTGACCGCCCCTCAGTACTTATTAAAGGGCCTGTATCACATAAAACTGATTTTTTTAGTATTTTTCCAAATCAAACACCTACACATTTACATACATCCACCTACTTAGCCTACAGCAGTTCAGCCCCGCCCACTCACGCTGAAGTTATAAGGAGCGTTTCAGCTCAGACTCTGATCTCTAAACAGTTCAATACGATTATGATTCTTTAGGAAACGATTCAGGGCATCATCCCACATTTCATCCTGACTGGAGTTCATCTGATTGTTTGAAACTGTTTTTAAAAACACACTGAAAGCAGGAATGTGACTGAAACACAAGGCTGAGCAATTTGGGAAAAATATCCAGCTGGGAATTCTCTTATCAATATTGTGACAGCGATTTAAACTGTGATTATTTTCTATAATTTAAAGTGCAGGCCAGTTTTTGGCCAGTAAGACCAGCATGTCCTTTTTCTGGCTTGAGGGTTGAACACTGAACTGGCAATTAGTTGTGGTTGTGATGTCACTGCACCTGGTCTTTCTGATTGGTCTATGTCACCTACAGGCAGTTTAGTTCAATTTCTCCACTTAAAACAATGTGGTTGATGATATAGGCTATAATAAAAACTGCACTCTTCCAAACTATGAATATGCAGAGCTACAGATTTATTTACTCAACAATAAAAACAAAACACCGGGTTTTATATTTAGAAATTTTACATTTGGTAAAAAAAGGTAAATTTTGTTGAATAATTTAATAATCTGTTATAATATATTGCAAGTTTCCAAAGTCGATGCATTTGTATTCCTACCTTCATCATGATGCGTTTATATTGTTTGTATCATGTTCGAAAGTGGAGATGTTTTTATGGACAGCGATGCTCTGCTGTTTCTGCTGCTGACCAGCACATCAGCATCCAAAACACAACATATGCTGGTTTTTCTAGAAGGGCAGCGCTAGATAGCTAGCATACTAAGGATACTGTATGTGTTTGGTCTGAGGGTCGTATCTGGACAGCATTACAGTACAGGCTCCACAGCCTCCTCCTCCACAGCCGTACTTACTGCCCGTCAGCCGCACTGAACAAACGGTCAAGGACATTAAACACACACTCACAGCCTCCCTGACCTCCCACACCCACACAGGAAAACAACACATTTCAGATACATTTTTAGATTAGCATTTTTTTTAAATTGGCTCATTAAATTCATGTCACTCAATTATTTGTATGAATGATCATCTCACACAGGTAACTATTAAAAATCTATTTGTAAAAATGTATTTTAAGGTTAATAAACCAATGAAAACACAGCAGACATTGAAAGTCGACTCTTTAATACGTGAATATATATATATATATGTTTTAGAATCATACATAATCTGCCTATGTAACTTCTTTACTGCATTTTATTCATCCTCTCTTTCTCGTTTTCTATTCCTTTCTGTCTTTCCTCTCTCTGCTTGTTATTATTTCTTTCCTTTTTCCTTTCTTCTATTTTTTATCGCTCATCTCTCTTTCACTCTCTCCATCATGCTCTCTCTGCTCTCTCTCCCTTTTCTTTTTCCCCTCAATTTCTCTCTTCTCCTTTCTTCTATTTTTTATTGCTTCTTTCTCTTTCCCTCCTTCCATCATGCTCTTTTTCTTTTCTTTAATCTATTTTGTATTGCTTTTTCTCTTTCACTCATCACGCTTTCTTCTCTTTCCTTTCTTCAATACTTTTTTATCGCTGTCTCTCTCCATCACTCTTTTCTTTTTCCCCTCTACCTTCTGTTTTTGATAGCTTTTTTCTTTCTCTCTTTCACTCTCATCACACTCTCTCTCTCTTCTCTCTTAGTTTCCCCTTCTTCTATCTACTTTTTATAGCTTTTTTCCTTCCTCTTTTTCACTCTATCCATCATGCTCTCTTCTCTTCTTTCTTCTATTTTTTATCTACTTTTTTATTGTTTTTTTCTCCTTCACTCTCGTTTGTTTACTTTTTATGGACAGTGATTGTACAATGCAGTGCCTAATAAAGTAACAACTGAATGTGTACATATATCTACATTACTACTCACCTCTGAGAGAGAGAGAGAGAGAGAGAGAGGCGAAGAAAAAGCCATTCACAGAGAGAAGGAAAAAATCATTATACATATATACATATACATATATATATACGTATATATATATATATATACATATATATATACACACACACACACGTCACCTATTTGAAATCACCTATTTGTCTTCTTTCTTTCTTCTTTATCTTCTCTCTCTCAGAGGTCAATAGTTCACTCGGCAGTGCACTCATTCACTCATTCGGTCCATTTCTCTGAAATGACCTTAACTCTCTCCTTGCTCCAAGTCAGACCTCACAAAAAGCTCCTATGCAGGTGAAGCTGAAAGGATACAGCTCTGTCTGAGGAAGCCGAGCAGCGTGGTCTCCGGGTCTGCATCGCTCACTGTCACCTGCAGCACAGCAGAACTTACTTTAATATATTTCAGACTTTTTCTCACGTCAGAATGAGGAACCAGTGTTGGAGAAGCGCTGACCTTCCACAGCTCCACAGTGGCAGGAAATACAGACCATAATAATCAGCTAGAGCGCATTAAAGGCGTTTATATACACAGAGAGCTCCTCACCTTTTTCCCATTCACATAAAAAGTCAGAACGTCGCTCTTCTGCTGCTCAGCCATGTTCTAAACTTCCAGCTGGAGCTACTTTCACCCTGCCTGGGCCCTGAGGAAGTGCAGAGAGGCCGTGTTCACAGAGAAACGCCCCCTCTGTTAAAAAATAAACACCCCTTAAAGGGCCAGCACAGCCTTAGAGAGGCCTTAAAGGGTCCAACTGATTCAGTGAGATATAAGAGTAAAGGAGGACTTCAGAGGCTCCTCCTTTTATTTACACAATAAATATAAATAAAATAATAATAATACAATAAATATGTGAAGGATTTTCACACAGTTTCAACAGACGATACTGCTGTACATCATAAGTGTATTAATTACAAATACTGTATTTAATTTAATGTAATTTATGCTCTTATATGAAAAATTAATAGGGCCTAAAATGGAGCCTTGAGGAACATAAGAGGTCAACTGTGACATTTCAGTGGTTTGTATGTATCCAAAACAGTCATAACTCATTTCTACACCACCATTTACACAACATTTTCCAACTGCTATTTTGTTACTGTTTCAAGTCATTACTGCCCAAAGAAAAGATTGTTTTCTACATAAATTTAGAAACACTCCTAAAATCTCTTGGAATAAAACCACCTTACATTGAAAATAAAGATCGTTTTTGCCCTCTACTGCAAAGTTATGATTTTGGAGGTACTTGGACAGAAACAATATGCAAACAAGCTCTGTTCTGATTGGCTGTGCCTCAAGCCAAACTGAAACACTCCTTAAAACTTAAGAATTAGTGGGCGAGGCGGACCTGCTGCAGGCCGAATAGGTGAACAAGTGTGGACGTGTTGGTTTTTTATGGAGTTAAATCAGTGTTTCTAGAATCTGAACCTGAATTCATGATACTTTTTCAGGTCTGGATATTTGGGTTGTGGCCCTATCTTTATCGGCACCTCCCCACCTTAGCGTATTTTCCAGTTTCAAGGACAGAAGCCCACCATCTCGCAGCGTCATCTCCATCCTTAAAAGTGGCCGGACTGTGGTCCACACTGTACTGAAGAATGTTAGCTGCCAAATCTGAATCAAGCAGGAGGCCATAGTTCACTTTTTCTTCAAATTTTCTGTTAAGTCACATTAAATCTTAGTGTTTTCATTTCACAATTTGAGGCGGGACGGAAAATATGCATAAAAGTAAACTTTGGCTTCATGAATGACGTAATATGTTTAGACGATTTACACAAATGGCTTATGTACTGTTCACTTCCTGTATAATGTAAGCCTGCACCCCCAGGAGGAAACATTTTAAAAAGTTAAGGAACTGTTCTACCTCAATGGTTATTACATTAAGTCAATAGTCGATCATGGGAGTGGGAAACAAAGGCATGTTCGTGGTGATGTTTTGTTGAAGTCAATCAAAGACAGACATGTTCATTTTGGGCTATTTTGATTACACTAGTAAAAAAAACTGACAAAAACAAACCAGCAACATGTTAGAGACAGAAATGTAAATAAAGCTGCTTCCATACCTGAGAAATGCTGGTGGTGGATGTAGGAAACTTGAAGTTCATTACAAGAAGAGAAGATACTTGGTTAAACCTTAAAGCAGCGAGACGAACAGAAGAGAGCGTTAGCTACATTAGTCTGATATAAGATTTTAGTTCACTTAGCATCAAGTTACCAAATCACAGCTCAGATAAAAAATAACTTACTGTTTTAACTGTAACTGCAGCTCCAGTCACTCCCTCTGATTTCTGTTTTTATCTTCCAAACTTCTGTGAGTGAAGCATCAAACTTGGTCTGTGGTGTGTGAAGCCATTAGCCTGCTAGCCAGCAAGCTAACAGCCCCACACATCACAGAACCTGGTTAGTTTCTGCTTTTCTGTCACTCCAACACCAGAAACTCGACATCTCTTGCTCAGGTTTGAGCCTTTATAGTCCACTGTAGTCATTCTGTGGTCCTCGTTATGCCCATATTAGGAACTCCGGGTCTGAGCTCCATTTCTCTATGGCCAGAATGAATAGGGTTTTCGAAAAATCGCCTCTAGCGCCCCCTGTGTTCAATAAACGCGCTCAGAACCTGATACGGTGTGTCTTGTGAGCATTCTTCTCTCGAATACCACTGGATCCTCCGAATTACGAGGTCGTTAAAGAGCTATGATACTAATATTGCTACATGCGAGCTAAAGCTATGGCGCATCAAGATGCTACCTTATTAAAATGTTCTACCGTAGCGCATAATTACAGGTATACCCATAAATAAAACCTCTAGGTGGGATATTTTGATAGGCTAAAACTCCTTATCAAAATACTACCAGCATTAAAACTACGAGGCTGAATTTAGCTTCTTTTTTCACAGCTTCCTGTTTGAATGTTCCCGTTCCACCTTAAATGGCGCAGCAGTACAGAACGTGACTGCTGCACCATTTAAGGTGGAACGGGAGAAGTCGAACAAAAAGCTGGCGAATGTCCTGAGAAAAATGTTCCCAGCATTAAAATAATAATAATGTTGTGTTTCACTGAGCATCAGGTGAAGAACAGAGAACTGCAGGGAAACCTGCTGATTCTGTTCGGACTCCTTTTCATTTCCCCTCAGACTGAACATGGAAATGAACACTGACAAAGCCGGATTAAGGAGGCTGCCGGTCTAATGACGTGAATTCAGAGCGCAGTAGCTTTAGCTCTCATGGAGCAATATTCATATTTCAGCTCTTTACCTCGTAACTCAGAGGATCCAGTGATGTTCGGGAGAAGAATGTTCACAGGACAGAACGCGTCGGGTTCTGAGCATTTTTATTGAACACAGGGGGCGCTAGAGGCGATTTTTTGAAAACCCTATTCATTCTGGCCATAGAGAAATGGGGCTCAGACCCGGAGTTCCTAATACGGGCATGAGAGCATGGAGCCGACTACAGAAGCCGACTACAGCGGTCTGTTTGTGGTGGGTGAGGATTAGTGAGCCGGAACTGAGCCGGTATTACAGCAGAGCTGTTAGCTTAGCCTGCTAACGTTAGCTTAGCTTGCGCAAACAGGTTAGCTAGTTAGCTTAGCTAACGACTCTAACGAGTGTACACACCAGTTTATTAAAAATGGAAAATAAATTCGACACAATTCCAAGTTTAAAATCGTAACTTAGCTATTAAAAAACTTAGTCTTCTTGTTTTGTGAGGGCAAACCTTCATCTGAAAGAGGCGACTCGCTAGTGGAGCTTCCGCAGCAGGTAAAGGCGAGCTGACTGACCGCAGCAAGAGATTCTCATTACCACTGTAACTCATGAAGAGTTCGACATAACTAACGAACTGCAGTGTTGGGTCTGAGCAAATGTCCG